CCCAAACACCTCCAGCAGGGCACTCCCACTCAGCACCACTCTTGGGGAATGTTTACTCAAGGAAGCCTCTCTTGGAACTTTCCCTGGGTCCCAGTGGTTCAATATATTCATCACAAGTGCTACTTCCCAGCCTGAACTCTCAGCATAAAATGAGAGGGCTGAAAGATTTGACAAAAATGAGTTCTTATTTTCTTATTTGGCTTTTACCTTGTTAACCTTTGCTCTTCCAGCTATTGTTACCAGCTCTTTCCTGCAGCCCCAGAGTTAATTGTGTGCCACCACGGGTGTGTGGGAGTTCATTTAAAATCCTTCTATCAGTCATGTTCTCTACTACCCTTCAGTAAGTGAAAAGCTATCAAGAAAACCAGAATTAGGCTTGGCCTGAACCCAAAGGAGTTACAGGATTAGTTTGGTGCAGTTCCTGTGCACTGGAAAAATAAGCAGAGGATTTAATGAAGAGTTGTTTTAAGTTCAGTGGTCACTGGTGTGTTTGTGGAAAAAGGTCACTGTGTCAGGAGGTGGCCCATGGAAACCAGGGAAAGGCCTGGAGAAGGGATGCACACATCTCTGACCTTCTGCCAGTAATTTTTTTACATCAAGGCAATTTTAATATTACCTGGAACTGTAAAAGCGACACAAATTCTGTTGGCTTTATCAGCTCTATAAACATCTAAAAATTCGGTTCTAAATCAAATTTTCCATCTCATTTAGGGGGGTAATATTTGATCTCTGAAATTTTATAGTTGGCACATAGAGAATTGCTAAAAAATGCTTTAGATTTAATGTGGTTTTTTCTTTTATATTATGGTTATATTCATCCAGTGACACCCAGGCTCTGTTACAGCTGCTCTCACTGAGGGACAATCCCAGGACTTTTCCTGGAGAGCTGCTCTGTCACCACAAGAGCTGGAAATCAGTCTAGTTTCCATTTCTCACCACTGATATCAAAAACAACAGCTGGGCAAGAATCCTGCTCAGCCTTTAAATGCAAATACACCTCAAACTGCTGAAACCTAGAAAAATAGTTGTGGAATTGTGCCTGGACTTTCATACTCAGCAGCATGCAGGTAATGTTTCATTGAATTGAAGCTTTAATACAAAATTCCCTAAAGCCACTTCTTGCTTTAGAGCCTTTACCTTCCAGCAGCTGGGTTTTACTTAAAATTCAGAACATTCTGTCCAGCCAGGCCAGGCTGAGAGTGATCCAGGCTGGGCAGCCAGGAACGTGTGTCCCCAAGGACACCAGGCTCTGAATGAGCCCCAACCCTCATCCCAAACACCCCCTACACACCTGTGAGGGAGCCAGGCCTCTTCCAAGGAGAATTCCTCCAGGAGCTTGTCCCAGTGCTGCAGGAGCTCCCACATGTCCGGCTGCACCAGGGGGATGCTGATGCACTGCTCCCAGCCACTGCCAGCCCTGTGCACACCCTCCTGGTCGTAGTTGTACACCACGCCTGCAAACACAGCAGTGGGCTGCTGGGGAACACACACTGAGCCCTTGTGGGGCTTTTTTCTGATTCAGCTTCCCATCAGCCCAGTAGGAAATGCAGGCCTGGCTTCCAGAAAAAAACCCGGTCTCGTTTTCACAGCGTGCTTGGAAAAAGTTTGGCTCTTTTAATAATCAGAGCAACTTAAGGACAATCAGGCTTCATTTTTAACCTGGCTTTGATTAAATAGACATCTGAAATTATGTTTTGCAGGGTAGGCCTACTCTAGGCAGAACCCAATAGGATTTTTAATGTGGCTTTTAAAAATGTTTTTAGAATTAGCAAAAACCATGTTAAACTCAATTAAACTGTAATTCCTTTAAAGCAAGCCTAGCGTTTCATTCCAAGGGTGGAAGGCACCTGTTTATTCCACTCAATGCCTGTTTAATCCACTCAGGGCAATGGATTTGCTCTGGAGCTCTGCTGCAAGGTGAGACCATTCCCAATGACCCCATCCCGGGATAACCCCAGCTGGAATTCCCAGGGCAGTTGGGGTGGCTCGAGAGGACACGGGGCTGGTTACCCTGGGAATTGGTGATGCCCACGTGGAGGTCGCTGTGCCCGTCGTAGCCGCTGGAAGAGGAGCAGAGGGGCTGCTGAGGGACACGAGTGTCCCTGTCCAGCCCGGCACAGGCAGAGCCCCCGGACACCGCAGAAGGGTGACTGCATTCCCAGAGCGGCTGTGAGCCCTGTCCTGTCCTTCCCCCTTCCCATTCCCTGTCCTTCCTTCTTGTCTTCCCATTTCCTTCCCTTTTCCCCTTCCCCTGTCCTTCCCTCTATCTTGTCTTCCCATTTCATTTCCTTCCCCTTTCTCTTTCCGCTTCACTTTACCTGCCCTCTCCTTCCCCATTCCATTTCCTCTCCCATTCATTCCCCTCTCCTGCCCTTTTCCCTCCTAATTCCCTCTCACTGCCCGCCCCCTTCCCTTTCCCCTCCCATTCCCCATTCCCGCCATTTCCATTCCCTATTTCCCTCCCCTTTCCCCTCCCCATTCCCTATACTCTCCGCTTTCCTCTGCCCTTTCCATTCCCTATCCCTCCCCTTTCCCCTCCCCATTCCCTATACTCTCCGCTTTCCTCTGCCCTTTCCATTCCCTATCCCTCCCCTTTCTCCTCCCCTTTTCCTTCCCTATTCCCTCCCCTTTCCCCTCCTATTTCCATTCCTTATTCCCCTCCCCATTCTCTCCTCTTTCTCCTCCCATTTCCCCTCTCGCCCTCCCCTGCTCCCGCAGCGCCCCCTGGCGGTTACTCCAGGAAGGTGCCGCTGCTGGGCCTGATGAGGAAGGCGCGGGGCTGCCCGTGGCCGTGCCGGAAGGGGCTGCGCAGGCGCACAGGCGCGGCGGCCAGCCCGGCGCAGCGCAGGTCCCCGCCGCACGCGGGGCAGCGCGGCGGCACGCGCCGGCAGTACAGCAGAGCGCGGCAGTGGCGCACGCGCAGCAGCGCCATGGCCCCGGCGCGCCGGCAAAAACCGGCCGGCCGGAAACGCGCCCGCGGGGCGGGGCCGCGGCCACGCCCCCCGCGCCGCGGAACCTCCGTGCGCTGCGCGAGGAGCCGGCCGGGCCCGGCAGTGCGGCGGCACGATGAGCACGAAGCAGGTGACGTGCAGGTGAGCGCGGCCCGGCCGGGCCCGGAGCTCTCTCAGCCCTCACACACCCCCAGCCCTGCCCCGTGCCCTCACAGCCCCCTGGCGCCGCTCCCACTCCCCCACGCTCCGTCCGGGGCCGGCCCGCGCCGAGCCGCAGGTCGTGGATGCCCCCAGAGCCACCCTTGTCCCCTTCCCTGCGCTGCCCCAGCCCCGCGCTCTCCCACGGGGTCCCGGCCGGGAAACAAGCGAGGTCAGCCTGGAAAGGCTCCTCCAAGGCTGCTTATGGAAGTTTTGTTCACTGAAAGGGTGCTCGGATGGATAATGGCCGGGGCTGCCCGGGGGCGTTCGGAGTCCCCATCCCTGGAGGTGGCCATGGAGTGCTCTGCCCTGGGGGCAGCGTGGGCATCGGGCACAGCTTGGGCTCGATGGGCTGGGAGGGCTTTTCCAGCCTCGGGGATTCGGATTTGTGAAAACAAAACAAACCGTTCCTGCTGCTGGCAGTGCCGGCTCTGACCCGCTCCTCTCCACAGGTACTACTTGCAGGGCGTGTGTCGGGAGGGAAGCAAGTGCCTGTTCTCCCATGATTTGGCCACCAGCAAATCCTCCACCATCTGCAAGTACTACCAGAAGGGGCAATGTGCCTACGGCTCCCGCTGCAGGTAAGCCCCGCTCCCTGGGCACTGGGAGGGCTCCTCTCCTGTCAGCTTCAACCCAGGGCAGGCACAGAGCGAGCAGAGAGCACCCGGGGAATGAAATCACTCTTTGAATGCGAGTTTTGCCAGAGCCAAAAGCAGCTTTCTCCTCCAGTAGTGGATTTTTGCTGTGGCTCAGTTTCAGGGGTTAGTTTGCTCTGTCGAAATTGAGTTTTGGGTTTCACGTGTGTTTTCCATCCAGTTCTTGCAGTCAGAGCTGCAGGTGCTCATGGAAAGGCCATGGAGAGGCTGAGCAGTTCCACAGCTTTCCCTGCAGTCTCCAGGGTTAAACTCCCAGAGGAATGCACTAGGGGATACCGGGCATGGATCCATTAGGGATGTGCCAAAGAGCAGCCCCTGGATCCCTTCTGGAGGAATTCTCTGCTGGCTGAGGAGCCTGGAGTTCACCTCAGAGTTCCCTGCCTTGCCTGCTGGAGCGTCTCCCGCGTTTTACTGGGGTGTCTCCACGGTCCCGCCGGATGTTTGGGATCCTCTCCTTGCCCAGAGCAGCTGTCGGGTTGGGTGTCTCGGTGCCCTGATCCCGGTTTTCCTGCCGCAGGTATGACCACGTGAGGCTCCCGGCGGCGGGCGGAGCCGCGGCCCCGCCGCCCCCCGCGGCCCCGGGCAGCCCCCGGGCGCCTCCCGAGCACGGCCCCGCCGCCCCGCGCAGCAGGAGGGAGAAGAGGACGCTGGTGCTCCGGGACAGAAGTGAGTGGGAGGCTGCTCTGCTCTCCCCGGGGCTGCGGGGAGGGAGGGAGGTGGTGTCTCCTGTGATTGTCCGAGTTTCAAGGCCAGCCAGAACTCCATCTTGGAGCCTCCTTCCTGCCTGTCATCCTTTTCCATGGCTCTGTGAAGTGTCTGCTTCCATTCTGCTGCCTGAGGGATGAGAGGGAAGTGTTTTGTCCACCCTGACAGGAGGATGGAGTGGGGGAATGTCAGTCTCTGTTCCCAGACAGCAACAGGACAAGAGGAACTAACTTCAAGCCTGGGGAGCTTTGGGGTGGACATCAGGAAGAGTTTTTTTCATGAAAAGGATGGTCAGGCACTGGAATGGAGTCCTCATCCCTGGAGGTTTACCAAGGGCTGGATGTGGCACTCAATGCTCTGGGCTGGGTGACAAAGGGGGGGTTCATCAAACTCGATGATCCTGAAGGTCTTTTCCAGCCTTAATGATTCTGTGATTTTTTTAGTCTATTTGTGACCAGAAAGCACCTGAATAAACACTACAGTTGAACTCTTCAGTAGGCAGCTTGGGAAAATCCCTGTGATTCATGAGCACAAAGGGCTCAGAGATGAGATTCCATTGGGAAGAAAAATTGGAATTTGGAGAGAAAGGATCTGGTGGGGGTTGAGTGCAGTGCCCTGTGCTTGTCCCTCCAGATCTGTGCGGCTCCAGCGAGGAGAAGCAGCGGCCCAGCGCCCCCAGTGCCTCCGGGGCCGTGGTGTGCTGCAGTGACCCTGGGGACAGCGAGGAGGCCAAGCCCCACTCGTACCTGGAGGCCATCTGCAGCGGGCTGGAGGAGCCAGCGGCTGGTGGCTGCCCCGGGGCCGCAGAGCAGCTGTGTCCCTACGCTGCTGCAGGCACCTGCCACTTCGGGGAGCGCTGCCTCTACCTGCACGGGCAGCTCTGCGAGATCTGCGGCCTCCAGGTGCTGCACCCCTTCGACCAGGAGCAGAGGAAGGCCCACGAGATGGTAAAGGGGGCTGGGAGAGCTGCTCTGCTCAGGGCATGGCTGGGGCTGGCTGCTCTGAAGATGGGCTTTGCAGAAGAGCTCCTTGCAAAGAGCTGCTGTTGTACTGCTTGTCTAGAGAATGGTGCTAAGAGTGGTCAGCTCAAGCCTCTGGAGCTGAATTGGCAGTGATGCTGCAGGTAGCAGCTTGTGGTTTTTCCCATTTCATCATCATCAGAGACTGGCCTGCAGCCTTCTCCCACAACAGGAGAATGCCTTTGGGAGGTCTCTGACTGAGTCACCAGCTCACCTTGCAGCGCTGTGGGAGTTGTGGATTGTCACTGCTGGGATGAGAAGTGCTTTAGGAAAGCCTGAAATAAGACACTAATTCCTTAACTGGGTAAAAGCTATCATCTGGTGAATGAACGTGGCCTTAATTATCACAGGAACACCTTGAGTGTGGCACCTATTCAGTGAGATGTTTTTTGGGATGTTTGAAGCATCAAATAATTCAATCCCTGTTCTCTGACAGAGATGCAGAAAGGGGTGAATGAAGCACCCTGGCATCTTTATTTCTGACAGCTGAGAGAACACTGAAGGCTGAAATACGTGATTGAATTTAACGTTCTTTAAATTAAACTCTGACAGTGACAGGTAGGAGTGATGCCCTCAGTGAGTGTTGCACAATTTCCCTGCAGTAGATCCTTCCCAGAGGGAATTTGTTTTGACAGGCTGGCACTCACGGTGACTCTCTCCCCTGACAGATGTGCATGGCAACGTTTGAGCACGACATGGAGAGGGCCTTTGCCATCCAGGCCAGCCAGGACAAGGTGTGCAGCATCTGCATGGAGGTGGTGTATGAGAAGCCCTCAGCCTCAGAGAGGAGGTTTGGGATCCTGTCCAACTGCACCCACACGTACTGCCTGTCCTGCATCCGCCAGTGGAGGTGTGCCAAGCAGTTTGAGAACCAAATCATCAAGTGAGTGCTGGGGCCTGACAGGGGCTGCACCTGCTCACAGGGGAGCCTGCAGCTGCAGATGGGACAGAGCTCAGCAAAGCCTGCTCCAGGTGCTGGCCAGGCCCAGGACTTGGCTGAGAGAGCTGCCTGCACAAGCAGCAGGATGCACTGGGTGTCCTTTGGTGCCAGTTCCTTTAATTCTGTGGCCCTGCATGGGAGGTTTGGCCAGTGGCAGCTCAGCCCTCTCTGATTGTGTGGTCAGAGGGCAGAGCAGACTCTGGAACAACTGGCACCTTGCACAGGTCTGCCCCTTGCATTGACCTGTGTGCAAAACCAAGAACCCCATTTTTTCCTATGTATGTTCTTAATTACAGGATTTTTCCCTAAATTACAGGTTGCTCCAGGTAAATGTCCCACAAACCACACTTCTATCTGTCAAAAGCAAATTCCTTTATCTTCTAGCTCTACAAAAAATGTGTTCCAAGCATATTCCCCCTCAGATGAGAGAATTTAAAACATCCAATTAGGGAAGTTTCCTTCTTTGAAAATCTCTCAAGTTACAAACATGCTGAAGGTGGGAAATAACTTTAAGTCCAAATTTCATTGACGTGACCATCAGCTCCTGGCATTTCAAAAGGCTCAGACACCTTAATTTTTGTTTTTGGCTTCCTGCTGCACTCACAAAACAGTTTGTTTCTGTACATTGAAGAAATCCCTGCTGCTTTTGCTCAAGTCCAGAAACAAACACAAGCCTTGGGTGCCCTGAATTGGGTTATTCCAACTGGAACTCCCAACAAATGCACACAAAGTGCTGTGCCAATATGGGAGGAGGTGACAAAGATCCCCTTTCCCTGGGGAGGATCCTCACTGCCTGTGGCAGATTTGTGGAGGTACCAGAGCATCTCTGTTTTGCCTTGTTCCTGCAGGTCCTGCCCCGAGTGCCGGGTGATCTCCGAGTTTGTCATCCCCAGCGTGTACTGGGTGGAAGAGCAGGAGAAGAAGAATGAGCTGATTGAAGCATTTAAGCAGGGAGTGGGGTAAGTTCAGCAACCACCCACATTCCTCACGTTGTTCTTTAGCTGCTCTAAGACTCAGTCAACTGCTGAGCCTTTATTTTTAAACTTAATATAATTACAGGCCACTCTGCAGAGAGCTCCTCCTCTCTGGTCACACTTCTGCTTCACTCTGTGGCTGGGTAATGGTATTTCAGAAATTCAGCCTCCCTGTGCTCAGAAATGTTGAAGCTATTTCAGCTCACTTGCCAAAACTGTTTTCGTGTGGCTTCTGTGGATCCCTCAGCCATAATTGCCTGGAAGGCTGTTGGTGACTGAGGATAACAGACAGGGAAGGAAAATGGAACAGTTCCACTGCTCTCAGCTCGGGAATGGGAGGCCAGAGCTCTGGCTGTGTTACCAGAGCATCACTGAGGCTGTGGGGACTGAACTGCATCTCCTTCCCCTCCAGTCTGAAGGCAATAACCCTTTCTCTTCTAATTAACTCAGGAAAAAGCCCTGCAAGTACTTTGAGCAAGGGAAAGGAACGTGTCCCTTCGGAGGGAAGTGTCTGTACCTCCACGCTTACCCCGACGGGACCCGAGCTGAGCCTGAGAAGCCCAGGAAGCAGCTCAGCTCCGAGGGCACTGTGCGGGTAAGGAGTCCCTGCTGTCACCCACAGCTCCTGGCAGGGGCCCCTGTGCTGCTGGGAATGCTTCCTGCCACGCAGGACAAGTGCAAAAAGCACCTCCCTGTTCCTTGGACAAAGGTTTGTCCTTGGAGACAGAAGGTGCCTCGCATTTAACTGCAAAATGTCATTGCTTTGTTTTTTCAACCAGTCCAAACCTTTCCGCCCTTAAAGCTTTCACCCACAGAACTCAAAGCTGCTCTCCTGTGCTGGCACTAAGGGCAGCTGGAAGGTGCAAAACCTCAGGAAGTGGTGGTGGCTCTGCCCCAGCTGTGTCCCCTCACTGTCTGTTGTGGGACACGAGAGCCTGGCTGTCACCCTGAGCTCAAACCCAGCTTTGGGATCTCAACTCGTGGCTGGTTTTTAGCGAGGAGATGCCTGCCCAGGCCAGCGCTGTGTTGCCTGGCTGGTGCTCAGGCAGCTTTTTCTCTGTTGCAGTTCTTCAACTCGGTGCGCCTGTGGGACTTTATCGAGGACAGGGAGAGCAGGAGCGCTCCCGGCGCCGACAGCGAGGTCACGGAGCTGGGGGAGCTGTTCATGCACCTGTCCGGGGCTGAGGAGGAGCCTGCTGCTGCCCCCTGAGGACACACGGCCCCTCGGAGCCCGGCAGGGCAGCTATTTATTAGCCATGCTTTCACTCTCTCCAGCACAGGTAGAACAAAACGTGCCCTGGTGGTTACTTGTGCAGTCCTGGTAAAGTTTTCAGATAGTTTTTATATGGCAACAACAAAAAAAAGACTAAAATATATTTAAAAAAATAAGTTGGCTGCATGGAAAAAAATCCCTTAATCCCAGGAGGGTTTTCTCCCTCTCTGGCCTAACATATGCTGTCTTGTGAGCTGAGTGGTAGTGTAAATGCAGGTCCAGTGAAAGCTTAAGCTGGTAAAAACTGTTGCTAAATAGAGTTTGGGTGCTTTTGGGTTTTTTTCTCCACTAAATCAGCTAAATGTATAACTACAAACCCCATTGGGAATAATGGTCAGTGTAGGGTTTTCTCCTTAAAAAGGAGTTGTTACATTATACCTCAAATAGTACCTGGAGGTCAGAGGAGAGTGTGGTGGCTTCTCTGGGTGTGTGGGGACAGGGCTGGGCAGGGCCTGGCTCTCCAGGTGCTGCCAGTCGAGTTCCCAGCTCTGTTCTACACTAATTCAAGTGCTCAGAGTCAGCAGGGACTGCTGCTGGAAAGCAAAAGCAGCTGCACTGAGTGCTGAAGTCACTGCACAAACTGGAGCTTGGGAGCTGCAGCAGCAGTGAGGTGCTCTCACTCATCCAGGAGTGGCTCTGCCCCTTTTCCCCAGCACTCCTGAAGGCTCAGGAGGCCTGAGGGATTAATGCACATCTCTGCTGAGTTAACAGGATTGTTACTGAATTCTGGCTTTGTTAAAAATGTGATTTCTCTTAGTGTGGCAAAGGCAGTTTGAGTGTGAAATCTGTTACCAGAAGTTAATTCTGCCAAGTCATTGGTATTAACTTGGCAGTTAAACCAAGAACTCTGTGTGCACTCGAGTGGCTGCTGAGGAACAGCAGGGACACACCTGAGCATGAGCTGTCCCTGACTCGGGTCCTTGTAAATCACTTGGGGCTGCAGTGACACTGAGCAGTGTTTGTAAATACAAATCCACAGGTGGGGTTTATTTTAGAACAGTTTGGTTGCAATGGAAGGCAGGTGTGGAACTGGTTTGGTTATTATCTATAGCACTATAAAAGCATAAAAATAATACTTAAAAATGTGTCAGAAGGAAAGAAAGGCCGAGAGCAGAAAGGTTTGTAATCACCACCCATGGAGCAGTGATGGGCACAGTCTTGATCCACCAGGGGTGGAAAATTATGAAGCAAAATGTGTTCAGAGAGACCTGGGCAGGAAGCAAAGCTGCAACCAGGGCCATCGCTGGGTGGTGACACCAGGATCTGGGTCCCTGCCGCGAGGGAACAGCAGGAGCCTTCATCTGGGATTCAAATCTGGGATTCAAACATCTTCACCTGCAACTCCAGGATTATCCATTCAGCTGCTGTTGGCATTTCTGGGGCAGGAGCCCCTCCCCTCTGTCCCTGCCAGCTGTGCCCTCTGTTCTGAGCTGCAAATTCAGCTTTCCCATCATTACTCCTCCCCAAGTTAGTTCTTAGCAGGGCTCACTGCACAGTCAGGTCTGGCCTTGGCCGTGTCTGGAACAAGCAACAATTCCCAGTTTCTTGGGAAAACAAAAGTCTTAAGTCCCATCAGTGCAATTGGTCAGCACTGATTGCAAAGGAGAAGGTAAATTGTCCCTACACGGGATGTCACACACTGACATGAATGTTCCAAGGACACCCAAACAGCCCAGAATACTTCCCCAGCCCTCACCCTCCCACTGAAGCTCATTCCCATCTGCTCCTGCACATATATTTTTTTCTTTCCAGAAAATAACATTGTCAGAAATACACACACATACAAAAAAAATCAGTGGAGAGGATGTTCTTTACCTTAGACAAGACATTGCTGATTTACTTTGCCCCAAGAAGCCATGAGGAGTAGTCTGAGTAGTTGAAATTAAAAAGCTTGTTTTTTGAAGCTACCCAGGAACTTAAAGTATCTGAGTTTCTAAGTTCTTCACTCAGCACCTTTCATTTAATTGGACATCAAGTGCTGGTTAAAATAAACCTAGTTATCAAAAATACTTACTTTTTTCAAGACACACATGATTTGGTTAAAAGTCAGTTAAAATTAATGGTTTCTTCTGGGAAATCAGTTAAATCAAAAACAGCTTACCTCTTCTGGGGTTTATTTCTTCCATGTTTTAAGCTTATTTAATGAATTGAAAATTAGAGATAAATGATGTTTAGAGAGAGTTGCAGTCCAAATACCAATATTATTATTAAAAACCATGCAGAACTATATGGAGCAGTCTCCTTCAAGTCTCAGTTTACCCTTTAGGAAGCAAAGCTTAGGGGCATTATCAGTGGTCAGCCAGGGATTAATATTCCACCCTTGTTGTGTTAGAGAATATTCTGAGGACAAACTGGAGGTGATTTCTGGGTCTGGCTCTCCCTTCCACAGGAGCTTTGTGGGGTTTTGCTGCTGCAGGAGCAGCTGCAGTGGCTGGTTGGGCTTTCCAGGGAGAGCTGGACACAGGGACTGCCACAATTCCCAGCCAAGGCAGCAGATGGGGTGGAGATGGAGATGTCAGAGGGCACAGCCAGCCCCTGTCCCCACTCCCTGATCCCCCAGGACCTGTGCACCCACAGAAAGGCAAAATCCCAAACTGGGCTTCCAGGCCTGCCCTAAAAACCACATTTCACCAACTGCTATTTGAGAAAAAACAAACAAACAAACAAACATTTTTTAGCTTCATCCACCTATTCCTGTCCTCCATGGAGTTCAGCCAATACAAAAACCTCACTTGCACCTCAATAAAGAAAAAAGCAGAAGTGGTGCAGGGAAGGAGCCTGAGAGCACATCGGGGTGTCCAAAGCAGCTGCTGCTGGAAGATCATTTACAGTACAGAAAAACTGTCTTGTCATGTGACTGGAAATGTAGAGGTGCTTTTATCAAGTGTGTTTTTACTTGCACTGCTATTATTTATCAGTTACTTTTAAAAAATTATTCAGAATGTCATTCCTTGAGTTTTCCAAATGCAGATGTCCCACTCACAACTGTGGATGACTACATTAAAATGATGACATTGAATCTTAAACCTAAAATTTAATTTATTTTATTAAAATAAGATAATCAGAGGAACCTTGGCTTACAATAAATGCATTTTCTCAGGAGCAATAAAAACAAAATTAAAACCCAAATCAACAAGAAAAACTGTATATGCTCAGTTTCCTCTTGCTAGTGCATCTCTGGGACGACAGCTTCAGCTGGGATGCAGCCTGTGCAGGAGGTGGGGACATCCCTCAGCCTCTTCCAGCCCCCAGCCCAGCATTCCTCCCTCAGCCCCGCCTGGGCTGCACCAACAGCTCCATAGTACCAAAGGCAGCTGGGAGGCTTCTCAAGATGATCAAAGCAGGGCTGGCTCACCTCCTTCTCTGAGCAGGACAATTCACAACAGATTCCATCCTTTTGCAAGAGTTTTTCTTCTATGTGCAAAACTATTGCAAAAAACTATTTTGTGTTGAATTAGCATTTGAACTTATTTCATTGGCTTGGTGAAGCTCTTAGGCAGGAGCTGATTTCCAGAGTTATTTCCTCTTCCCACTCCAGGCACAACTCCCCAGGGTGAGGTGGCACTTGGCACGGGGCAGTCAGAGCACCAGAACATCACCTGTCCTCAGAGCCACCTCACTGAGCACAGAGCAAAAACCCAGCCAGAGCCACTGCCAAAGAAACGGCCATCGCTTCTGGGAAGGGGAAAATAAGGCTCAAGTGCATCTATTAAAAAAATAGTAATAGATCTCTTGATTTGTAGTCTGTTACCTCTCCCAGAACAAGAGGTGGCAGCAAAGGCAATGAGGAGCCGTGTCCCTGCAGGCTGAGAACTGCACGGGCCCGCAGCAGCTTCTCTGTACAGGTGGGACACGCAGGAGCCCGGCACCCAGGCGTGGCAAGCACAGCTGGTGCTGCTGCAGCCAGGAGAGGGCCGGGAGCAGAGAGAAGAGCTCAGAACACGGGCAGCCTGGTGGAGGTCAGCGTGCACGAGTTGATGTCCTCGGTGTGGGCGGCGCGGTGCAGGGACGGCTCCGAGGCGCTGCGGTTGATTTTGGGTAGAGAGTGCTGCAACAGCTCGATGGACGACAGGATCTGCGGGGAGAGAGCAGCTTAGAGAGCCTTGGGGGACCCTCTGGGGACCCTCAGGGGACAGCAGCTCCCTCTGTTTCGACTTAAACATTCATTCACTCCCTCCTTCAATTCTTATCCAATTCAATTACGGCTCTAAGTTCGATTTTAATGCTCCGTGGCACACTGAAAACACAGTTGGAGGAATCCAACTCTGCCCACCACTGTCAGTGCTGTGAGAGCCTCGGGGAGTTTCAGAGGCTGGGAGGGTGATTTTCATCAATTCACAGACAAGAGGATCAATTAACGAGCATCTACCATCCTCCAGTCCAGTAACAGGGAAGGAACTGCATCTTGTGCCTGACATTTAGAAAGAACTTTCTAAACGATGCCTGATTGCAACAGCAAAAGTTATTTTTCCAGAATTTCTAACATTAATTACTCATATTTAATGAGTATAAGAAAGTACCTTCCCCATCCTCAAAGTGACAGGAAAATGTAAATCATCCCTTGTAAAAATACCAAAAATTGCCACATGAGTTTCCATCCCCCAGTGGATTTTGTGGGCTTGTTTAAGAGTCATGGGGAAGGAAAGGAGGAGTGGCCTCTCACTTCCCCCAACCCTACTCTAAAATAAAATGGATATCCTGAGACAGGTTTCCCGCCTATGGTGGGAGGGTGGGGTTTGGCTCCTCTCTCCAGGCAGGTGTTGACAGCGTGCTCTGCTGTGAGCCCAGCACAGCCTCGGGCTGCACACGCTGCAGGTTGTGTCAAACTCCGAGTCCAACAAACCCCAGCCTGCCAGAAGAGCTGCGTGATGAATAAAGACAGAAACAGCACACAGGCTGCACTTCCTATTAACCAAGATTTCCATCAGAGCAGACTCCTGTGTGAGCTGCTGGCTCTCTGTAAAACCCTCAGGCTGCTGTGCAGGACACCCCCTCACCTGTGGGAACAGAGGTCGTTCTTCCCGAACTTTCTTCAAACAATCTGCTACGAGCCTCTTCATGGCTTTGGGGCAGTTCTTGTACAGCTTGCTGAGGTCTGGGGAAGCATAGCCCCGGCCAACCATGAAAATGATCTGCAAAACAACAGCACGAGAGCAGCTCACACAGGGGCCCCGCTGTGGCAGCTTTAGTGCCCCCAGGGTGATGGAACCCGGTCCCAAAGGGCACCAACACAGGCCTGGCTAGCCAACAGTGCAGCCTGGTAAAGACTGAAGAAATACTCAATATATTCCAAGGTTGGACAATAGTTACTGGGTTTTTTCCCCTCAGTAAAAAGCAACAAATCCCATCTTCTGATGCAGCAGCTGCATATTTAACACCAAAATGGGAATTTCCCTTAATTGCAAATGGATAAACCAGTATTTTAGTGTGCAGCAAAAGCTGTAACCTGGGAATAAATTAACGGGGCACTTCAAATATTTATAAAGAAGGAATTTTTGAGTACCCACACTGTCAATACTGAGGTGAGCATTCAGTTACACATTTGTTGCTGTCACCACCACCTCAGCTGGTTTGCATTTGGATTTATCCTGCATTCCCCGAGGCCAAGGGGATGTGCCATGGGCAGAAATAAACAGGAGTGCTCCCAGAGGGCTCCTCACCTGATCTCTGTTGTTGATGTGGGAGTAGGGCAGCTCTCCTGTCATCAGCTCATATAACACTATTCCATAGGAGTAGACATCTGACTGGAAGCTGAAGGGGTTGCTGTCCTGCATCCGGATCACTTCGGGGGCCTGGCAGGGGAAAAACCAAATTAGGAACAAAAAGAGCACAAGAGGAGGGAAAGTATTTGGGAAGCAGAGACAGTGAGCTCAGCCAGAAATGAGAGAGCAAAGGGTACCCCCAAATCTTTGGTGAGTTTATCTAAGGTTCTGAAGAAGGTCAGGCAGAGCTACTCCACATCTTATTAAAAATATCAATACAGTTCAGAGCACACACACACACACACAAAAAATCAATGCTTTAATTGAAAAAGCACTTTGCCATTAGAAAAAAATATTATTATTTGGATTTGCAACGTTTATTGACTCCTGTTACACCTTACACAGAGCTGAGCCTTTCACCATCAGTTCTTAAACTGGTACCAGTGTTAGAGGGCAAAAATTCAAAATGCTAATCTTATGTAAATTGGTACCAAAACATGGTCAGGAAATGCAAAAGCCAAACACAAAACAGCACATATTGAAGATCAGGGAAGAAATACAGAACATTTTAACATATTTCCAAAATTATGAAGCCTCTTAAAATAAGCAATGTCAGATGACTGAACAAAACGAGGTGTGAACCAGCAAAAGGACTTCCCCATTGGCTAAGGTTATTTTCCCCTCCTAAAGAATTTCCTCAGAATTATTGAGCAAACCACTAAAGTACAACAGCATAAAAACCACAATAAGGGATCACAGGAACTTCCAAGGAAACAGAAACAACCTCCTCCCTATGACAGCTCAGCAAAGATGGCCTATAAATGAATAAAATAAATACTATTTTTAAAAAAGCCTGCAATGAGGAAATATGCAGCATTTTTTTTCCCCAAGGTCTGTTTCATGTACACAAATATATTGCATCCCATTAGGTAAATTAGTTTTGAATCCTTTTATAGAAAGTTTTTTAAAAATCTGGCTTTTTGTACCATTTTTTTTAAAGGAAAGAGCATTCCTGCTTCTGGAACTTTGTTTCAGGTGATGTGTGTATTTTACAGAGCACAAAAGAGTCTTAGCCAAGCATCCTGATATTTTTAATAAACATTTCCAGATATACTGGCAGCCCTAAACATTTAAAATAACTCACAAACCCCAGTGGAGAATGCCTGGTGCCTACTTTGCAGAATTAATCCCTCCAGCACTTCCATTTTGACTTGTCCTACAGCTGGAAGAAAAACCTACACAGGATTTTCAGAGCTGGATGCTGAAGGACAGAGGCACGAGGAGGTTTCAAAGTAGGGAATGTTTTGCTCACCATCCACAGGATGGAGCCCGTGGGCTGCTCCACCTGCTGGGATCCACTCCACCTGGATTTTACAGTTGCCAGACCAAAGTCTCCTATTTTCACTGTGAGGCCTTCATGAAGAAATATATCTGTGTTTTTGTTAAAGAAACTGCAAAAAATTGAGTCAACACTTCTGGATTTTCTGACTTGACTAGCAAGTGCTGCTTGTTTTATTGAAACCTGCTGTGAGCTCTATGTGAAACAAAGGAAAAATGGATTTTATGGCAGCCATGCTTAAATTAACATTTAACACTAAACCAGAGCAGATGTTCCAGCATTATTTGTAGATTTATCTTTATGGTGAGCTAGGACAGAAATCAACAGTTCATTACCATCCATGGCTGCAGCTGCTTAAATAACTGGTGCTGAGAAAGAGAAACAGCACAGAGATCTCTCAACTCAGAAAAGTAACAAAAAAACAATTACAAGAAGTATCAAAATAAAATCTAGTTCCATAAGGTTCTCTGGCAGATCTCCTGAGTTTGAACTATGATTTTAACTGGAAATGATATATCCACACTATTTATAATTATCTCCTTCATGGGTCTGTTATTGATACAGCATTTTCACTGCTGGGTTTATTTTAAGAAGATACCATTTAATGATTTCATTTAGGAATGTTTTAAATTCAGAAATATAAACATGACTGGCTACTCATTTCCATGTCAGAAGCAGAGCTAATTTATTTCACAAAAATGATCATCATTACTAAGAATCAAAAATTCCTGGTCTCCCATTCACTAAAATAATTGGGGGTTTTGAGCTGAACTGAAAACAGAATCCACTGACATTCTGGACCTACTGAACTTGGTAGATTTTTCTGATGATGACATGTGCCAAAACATCCTGCTCACATTGCATGGAAGGAAGCCCCAGTTCCTGCTGGTAGCTCCATGGTTGTTCTGTAATTCCAAAAGCAGGCATTCCAAAGGTGGCAGACAGCAGCTCACAACATTTTCACTCCAGATGTGTTACTAAATAGGTATTTTTGCACGAGATATAATAGCAAAAGGCTGCCTTTTCTTGAGTTTAAAGTAAGATTTTTGCCTTCATTTCTGCCAGTCATGCAAGGAGTTCTAAATATATTAAAAATACACAAGAAACAGAAACAAACCCATGTGTGCACACAGATGAACAGCACACACACCTCCCATCAAGGAGGAGAGCAGCATTTGGATACCAGAGGATTAAAGAAACCCCATGTAAGTAAAATAAGAGATTTCTGGAGCACAACTGTTGCACATCTTTATCCCAAGTGTGGTAAACAAGCACAGATGTGCTGGGGCAGTCCTTGCCAGCTCATCAATAGGGATTGCCCATTGGTATTTCTACATCTAAATCGATTTAAAACAGCTATTGCAACCCCCACAGAAAGCTGCACGTTAAGAATAAACCCCTCCCTCCCTGCAGAGAACCAAGACTCGGGAAGGATACTATTGGATTTCATGTCTCTGTGGATGATGTTCTTTGCATGTAAATAGCTGTGAAGGGAAAAGCAGAAGAGCCATTAGCAGGGCTGCTCACAAAGAGCATTTTCATTCCCCACATACAGTTTATTCAGTTTATTACACACCCCACCCCTTGACACACCTCTGGCTTTCCATGAGTCTACTTTGGGAACAAAGACATGGAGCTGTGCTCAGGGCAGTAAAGAAATGTCAGGAAGGAGTGGCACAAGTTCCATTAACCCTGGAGAACTGGGACTGTCCTGTCCATGAAATCTGTATCCTGTGCTGAAGCTGACTGTTCCAAACTCCTAAAATTTCCATGTGCCCAGTTTTCTGGTGTCTGAGTGGAAACCTGGGCACTGATCTACAAAATGAATGAGCTCTGGCAGCAGCAGCTGCTTCTGTGCTCCCAACATCAGAACAAGGGCTGAAAGCAGAGAGGTGGGGCCTGGAGCAACTCAGCCAGCTGGAAATGCTTCCAAATCCATCTGGGAGAGTGCTGTGCAACAGAGCAGCCACCCCCATCTCTCAGGGTGTCAGTCAGTGTGTGCCAAACACTGCAGTGTCACAGTAACCCGGGAGGAAAAGCCCTTTCATTCTGTAAAGGGAACAGAATTTCATCTGCTGCACTACAGCAACACCTCGAGCTGTAAGAGCAGGTAAAATAGAGAAAATATCAGCGACAGAAGACACGAGCTAAGGCAAGGATCCCTGGGGAAAAGAGCTGAAGCACAGCAGAGCTCCAGGCAGAGGGAGGAGTGTCCCTGCACTCAGCGCTGCGCTGGGGGAAGGGCCCCACTCACTCCATGCCCTGCGCCGTCTGCCGGGCGATGTCGATCAGCTGGAACATCTGGAACTTGGTCTCCTGCACGTGCAGATGTTTGTAGAGGCTGCTGCCCTCACACCACTGCGTGACAATGGCCAGGTTGTCCTTGGTCATGTAGCCCATGAAGAGCAGGATGTTCACGTGCCGGGTCTTCCTAACAGAGCAGCACCAGGAGAAATCAGCAGCTGCACCCAAAATCTCTCAAAGGCTTCTCCAAACGCACCCCTGGCTGAACGAGCTCATCTTTACAATCCCAGGTCAATGTGTGACTGAAGTCTGGGCTTGCAAATAATTAAAATGTACCACAGTTGCCAATTTTTTTTTCTTTTTTTCAGCTGATTTTTTGCTTTTTAGTTACAATATTTCTTTTTAGTTACTTAAGAAAAGGATGTCTGAAAATTCAATCAATAAGCAAGAGTCACACTTGCAAGTAATATTAGAAGATATTGGAATGACAGAAATCACCCTGAAAGCTGGGAAAAAGTGCCAGCTTTAGGTAGAAGACTGAATTCCAAGAGGAAACCAAAGGATAACTATAAACCCTAAAGGAATTATCAGATGAGATGGTTTTTCTGTATCTACTTGGTTCAAGAGTAACATCACAGCCACTTCATTAGACACTAAAAAGCCTCAGGATTTGAAAGCAGACAACAGTTACACTGATCAGTGTTATGTTTAAGGGAAAAAAAAGTTATTATGCTGCAGTTTGAAGAGGAACAGTTCAAGCAATGGTGAGAATTAGGGCAAAATTTATTAACCCTCACCTTTACTGCCCTCAGTGTGGCCTGAACAAGGTGGGTGTTAAGAGACTACAAAAATACTCTGAACTGTGGCTGTGATTTTTATTCTTCCCTGGAAAAGTGCTTTTTGTGCCTGTCACACACAGAATCTTGGGCCAGAAGGCTCCAAAGAGGGCTGGGAGTCAAATGCAGCACCTGGAACATGAGAATTCAGCACCCACTCACCTCAGGACAGCCACTTCATTCCTGAAAGCCTGGAACTGTTCTGGGGTTGGGTCTACAACCTTTAGGATCTTCACTGCTACATCCCCTGGAAATGATTACCACAAGAGTTACTGAACATGCAGCTTCCCCTTCCTCTTCAAAATAACATTCAGATGTAATTAAAATCCCTCACTTGTGCATAGCACACCTCTACTTTGTACAAAGGTCAAGACTGCCCTGCAGACAAATTTCTGTGGTATCAAGCAATTAATTTAGCTGAATTTCAGTCTAATGGAAAAAGTCATTCATTAATTATTCACACACCTCCCTTCTATTTTAAGGGCTGTGTTTGGCTAGAATGCTTTTTGCAGGCCATATGAAAACACACCTTTGTGGTTTTATTATCAAATTTAAATACTGAAGTGTTTGTATGTATAAACTTCTTTTGAGCACATTAGAAAACCCATCATTCTCTCCTTCATGCAGAATTTCTTTATTTAATTCTTGATCCTTGAAGAGGTGTTAATGTTCTATTAAAATAAATCTTCCTATGAATTTATTTATTATGAAATCCTATTGAACTTATTTTACCTCTTGATTTCTGTGTCCCATTTCAGGTCCATAAAGAAACTCAGAAACTGTTCATTACTTTTAGTGTAACAATTGTGCTTCCCTTGCTGCTTTTGGCTTTGTATTTGGGCTTTGAGACATGCAAGTATTTACTCATTAAAAATGCAGGGCAGCAGGTAAGTTTCCAGATCTGTTTTGTCAACTTTTTTTCCCTGACAATACTGCTATTTAAATTAAGGCCTGGAGGAGTTTCTCTGTTTCTTTTTAAAATCACAAGCCATGAATTTGGAAACAAATTCTGCAGCTCTGCAGGGTGCCTGTTTTCAAAATATTCCCACTACCTACAGATCAAACTCTCACATTAAGCAGTTTTTCATTGAAAAAACGCCACAATTTATGCTGATTTCCTTTCCATCCCACCTTGAAATGAAGCATGCTAATTAAACCACAGAAGTAGAAGGTAAATATAATTTAACAGCAGGCTGAGGAATTTCCCAGCTAATAGAAAATAAACCCTTTTCAGAAAGCAAGCTGGTGTGGAACATGGGAATGAAGAGATCAGTGGAGTGAGAATGGAGATGCAATTGTGAGATTCAGCTTTTGGTGTCTGTGCTTTGAATTCCAGTGCTGCTCTTACAAAGCAGTTCCTGTTTCTGCCTGGTGCCTTTGGGGGAGGATGAGCACCCAGCACCCCTAAATCCATTTTCCCTGTGCCTTTGGGGGAGGATGAGCACCCAGCACACCCCTAAATCCATTTTCCCTTTGGTGGAGGATGAGCACCCAGCACCCCTAAATCCATTTCCCCTGGGTTGCTGTCCCCCCAGTTGAGGACTCACCGTGCCACTTGCCCTTGTAAACTGTCCCAAAAGAGCCTGAGCCTATCCTGGTGGAGAGCATCACTTCACTGGCTTCTATTTCCCAGTAATAACTGGAGTCCCTCTGTCCACGAGGCCTCTGTATCAACAATTCACAGCGATTTAGTTTTTAATCACTTGTATTATACACACACAAAAAAATTTAAATAACTATCTTCACACAAGTTCAAGATGACCTGAAAACCTTGAGGGGTTTGCCCTGCAGTTTGGATTTTTGTTTTTCTCCTCAGTTTGGGAGGGTTATTGGGTTTCTAGAAAAAACCCAAACAACAAATCACCACATTTTCTTAGATACCTTGAACTGCTTATCATGAACATGTTTATTATGTTTAATTTTCTCTGCACTAGCAAATTAAACCCTAATCTGAGATCCTAAAAGGAACATATATATTATGATCCATTATTGTTAAACATCTGAAATATTTAAGGAAGTTGTACAAAAGTACAGTACTAAAATTCTAGAACTCTTACATCCTTAAATGGAATAAGCCAAAGAGATGAGTGCAAAATTCTCAAATGTCTAAGTGAGCAAAAACTGTGAATCCCACTAAGCAACTGTATTTTCATTGTGAAAGCTGAGTAGCCTTCAAAAATTTCAAGATATTATCACTTATTATTCTAATTCTTCTTTCTTTCCCCCATCCTTAAATTTAAATTAAACCTTTGAGGGAAAAGTTGCATTTTGTAAAATCTGTTTTTCCCTGAGACATGACTCTTCAATTAAAATGAAAGCATTGTAAGTATCCACTTTCTATGGAAACAACACAGCTCAAATAGTGCTAATAAAGCCAATTTTAAATATATTAAAACTGAATCAAAGAGATGCAACCTCTAAAGATTTAAAAGGTAATATTTGGACCTGCACTGACAATGCCACACCACTGCTTGAAATTAATTTGCCACCCAGAACATGTTCTGAGTATTTATAACCCAAGGACACAGGGCCATCATTCCCAAAGTAATTACAATTCAATTGTTCCTGCATACAAAGTGCAGAGACTACCTGCACCTCTTAGAGCAGAAATTTATCCCACCACCCCACTCCTCCCAGCACAGTTAAAAAAATTTAACTAATTTTTTATTGAAAACAAATATCACCACACTTACGATTTTATTCTTTTCTTGTGTGTTGGATCCAGGGGCTCTCTCTCTTTGGGCTGGGACTGGGGTTTTAGGCTGAGACCAGCCAGTTGGGCTCATATTGTTAGGACTTCCAGACAGAGCAGAGGGTGAGGCTTTAAGATAGAAATATAAGAAAACAGTTTATTGAACAAGAAAACAACCAAATCAAATCATCCTAGAAAACGTTGAATTTTTGAAACCATACCTGATTCACTATGGCTTCGAATTGCATCCTGCAACACAGAAGATGGAGAATCAAGTTAATAAATAGAAGAGAGCACACAAAGGAACAAGCAGGGCTGGTGTGGAAATTGCTGGGCCAGCTTTTGGTCAAGTGCAATACAGGACTGGCCAAGAGCTGCAGGATTGGGGATGTGCTCATCACACCAATCCTGCAGGAAACCCATGCAATCTGTGACTTCTTACAAACAGGGAAGAGATTCACAGCATATTGAAAGGACTGCTACCAAAAAGGAAAGAGAAAAAAAGGACACAGAACAAGAAGAACCAGCAGCAATACTGTCTGCATTCCCCCTGCACTTCATGCTCATGTTCCAGGTGTGGACAGAGCTCCTGGGATGGCCTCTGTCCCCAGGGGACAACTCCCACACAGCTCTTGGCTTCAAGCAGGACTTTTAACCCCCCCAAAATATTCCAACTCAATACCCACTGTGAAACGACTCCACATACTACTTCAACCCCCAAAAAAGGCTCCATCAAGTGCCCCTACACAAACCCCTCTCCTTTCCCAAGCACATTCCCACAGGGAATTTGGCATTTGAGCAGTGTTTCCCCACAGGTCACCAGGACAGTGCCACAAGTGTCACCTCATGCCACGGGCACAACACAACTCTACAGCCATGCACAAGAGAGAACTAAGCTCTGACAAACAGCACTGCACAGCTTTTCTCACCTGCCATTTGTATTATCCCAAAGTACAAACAGGAAAGGGAAAATATCCAGGGACTGTGTAAGTACAAAGCAAGAACATGCACTACAGAGAGGTTAAACACTGTCAAAGTTAACAGCAGTCAATTCAAACTCTCTAACTAATTAGTAGAATAATAAATATAAGATTTCATAGGAGGACAGAACAAGTCCACATTCCACTCCATAGTTTCAAGTTAAGATTATCTTTAGCAAAGATTCAGTTATGAAATATATTGTTTTAGCTCATTAGTTGCATTCATCCAGGCTGGACTAAGTACAGCATTCTTGCAGATTGCCACTGCTCCACACCTGAGTGGATTAAAATCTGCATGAACAGCCAGTGAAGAACTCTTCAATTTACTAATTTTGTTCAACTGAAGGATAATAAAAACCTTTCAGAACCAGAATAACAAGTGACTGGTTCTGTACACCAGCCTGAGAATGTAACTGCTTTCAAGGAAGCTGGCAAAGGATAACTAAAGAATTTCAATTGT